CTTAAACACTTTATCCAAGAAACCCAACCCCCCTCCCCCTAAAAAAAAACACAAGCCTACCATGCCTACCTCTAACCTCCACCTCTTACCATTGTTACACCTTATTAATTATAATCTATATTTTATTAAAGTGTGAAAGAAAGAACATATAGTTACAACAGAAACAACTTGTGATCAATATAATTATGAGCAATGCTATGTAACCCAAATTGCATCCCAAATAAAGGGGGACAATTGAATCAGTGGGTTCATTTAAAAAAGTTGATAGGATCCACTCATCCAACGGTTCCCCTTCATTTGAGATGCAAATTTGGGTTGTAAATTTGGGATATATAGTATTTCTCTATAATTATTTGGACATTGGGAATGCTTAATATTTGTAGTATCACCAACTCCAAAATGACAACATCAAATAGATTAACCACCAGAGATCCACCAATGTATATTTCTTAGTTGCGTAATATTCTACGTATCCACTTTTCTATTTTGATTTCAAAAAATAATAACCAATTGATATTATTTATCTCTTTCTTTGGGTTTGGCTATTATGAAATTTCTAAATTGTAGGGTCATTTAATTATTTCTCAATGTAAGAATTCTTCCAAGTCCCCAAATCGTATCACATTTAGAAAGCAACTTAAATTTTCAAACTTTAATAAAATTGAATTTGTTAACTTGTAAATATTCTCACCATTCAACAAAAATAAAAAATCCACGCAATATTCACAAATTGAGAGGAGCAAACCTCTTTTCCCAAGTGCTTTTCGTTCAAATTCAATTGAAGATCCAAAATATGCAAGGACTTCTAGCTAGCCATGACCAGTATATAGCTTGTTGATTCTTTCAAATCAAAAAAATATTTGAAATGACATTTCGAATGAGATTTAGAGTAAATATAAAATCTCATGTAGACCCACACTTCGATGCTATCATCTCATTAATATTTCATCCATAAAGTCACATCCTTAAACTTATTTCCCATTAAAAAATAAGGTTACATGACACTCTGTATAAGAGAAAAAAATTTTAATAAAAGAAAATCGTATCTCACACATTATACATCCCTATAAACAATTGATTGATACATTGAGCCCTATCAAGCATGTATAAGAAAAATTAACTACACTCCTTGCAAGCTCGAAAATCAATATTAAGTAATAGTACCCACGCAGGTACAAGAAGATTGTCTCATGAAGCCATAGAAATTTGATGCAACCAAATTAGTTCTCATAGAACAATGAGAGAATTAACATGAATGACCTATTAAAAATATAGACCAACAAAAGCAAGACCCCATATCACACATCTTTCTTTCAACAGCTTTAGCTTAAAAGTCTCTTCCCATATGTACATAATGGTTGAATTGAAATTTGAAAAACAAGTGTTATCACACTCGACAATGTGATAAAAAAACAAGTGAGCGTTTACCAGTTGTTACACCTTATTAATTATAATCTAGAACTTATTGAAGCGTGAAAGAAAGAATATAGTCATAATAGAATCAACTTATTTGTTTCATTATTTGGACATTGGGAATGCTTAAAAATTGCAATATCACAAACTCCATAATGACAATATCAAATAGATTTCTAGATGCCAACCTCCTATTCAAAAACTAGTATTTCACATCGAAACATTGAGAATAAGGAATAAAAATTGACATTTTACTAAATGAATGGAAAGGTAAAATTAAAATATTACTAAAAGTAATTTTTGATCGGTAAAAAGTATGGACTTAGTCCACTCTAGATTAGGGATGTTAGTGGACCGAACCGGGGGGCGGGGGTCTAATCTCCATCCTCATACCTGCTTAAAAATATTTCGTTCATCCCCAGTCCACCCCCGTTAACGAGTATGGTTTTCACCCCCACCGCTGTCCCGTCCCCCGCCTTCACCTCCGCACCCACCCTCGTCCACTTTACCCGCCCAAGCCCAAGCCAATATAAACTAAAATTCTAAATAAATTTAACATTCTAAATAGTGCAACATAATTATAGAATATCATAACATAATTAAAAGTTTATCATTTACGACATAATATAATTAAAACCTCAACTATAACATAATCCAACATAATATGATTAAAAGTTTGTATTTTTTGTAAATCCAACACAATATCATGCAACACAATATAATATAACATAACATACCCCAAGATGAAAAAATATAAAAACACAAAGATCTACACTTTTACAAGCCAAAACCATGAAAAACATCAAAAAACAAAACAATTTTCAAAAGAAAAAATCATTCAATAATATGTAGATTTAAATTCAGAGCAACATGTATGTGTATATAATAAAAATAATAATAATAATAACGGGTAAAACGGGGTAGGCGGGGCGGGGGTTAGTGTTAGTCCATCCCTGTTTTTATTCCTGCTCGGGTATATACGGGTATCCCCGCATACGTCTACTGTCGAATACGTATGATGCATTTTTGGTCCAAACGGAACGGGTCTGAACTAATACTTATTTTTACTCGGTCCACTGTTATCCCTATTCCGGATGGCATCAACTCTTTCAATTTAGGCGAAAATCTTACTTTACACCTCAAAACATTTAAAAAATTTTATTTTGTACTTGTTGAGATTATGTTTTTTTTTACATTATACATTAAATGCATTAAAAGTGTCGCAATATAACATTTTTGTTAGTTTATCTTACTAATTTCATCAGTATCAATGTAATAATTTTTGACAGAATAAATAACATAAAAATTAAAAGAAAGATCAAAGTAATCTTTTAGGCTCTAAAATGGAATTGACCCTTCAATTTATTTTTTATTTGACGTGAGATCTCACATGGTGTCCCAACGTTATAACTCTACGTGATATCACTTACTCAACCAATTTGAGATACCTGATATATTGCCATTTGGATATGAAGCCAGTGGTGTGCCGAACAAAAGTAAACAAAAAAAGAATGGTGGACTTATCGAAGGAAACAAAGAACAATGATTGCACAAAGTTGACAATAATTCTTTGATTCCTCCGAAAAAACGAAAAGATGGCAGGTACGGAATCCTTCTCTCTCTCTCTCTGATATCTGGATCCACTGGAATTAATTTTTTAACAACAGGAATACTATTCATAAAAATTCTAACTAAATGTGAAAACTTTACCCACGTGACAAAAATGGTCACCAAATATAAAGAGTAATATTATATTGATCAAAATTAAGGACTAAAAGGGGTGATCAAATGACATGGCAGATGACGTGGAAGGCAACTGACCAATTACTGTGCAATATTGAATACCCACATTGTGCAAATCAAGGAAGGAAGTGAATTAATATTGCACAATAATTGATCAGCCGTCTTCCACATTACCTGCCATGTCATTTGATCATTCCTTTTGGTCCTTAATTTTGGTCAATATAGCATTACTCAAATATAAAATATTTTGCCACAATAGTTATTACAACAAATTAAGGTGATTCTAACACTAAAACCAACTACTTTGCCACTAAGTGCTATTTTGGTTGTCATATGAAAAATGGTTAGATTGGATAAAAGATTACAATCTAATACAATACATATGGATAAAAAACAAGATTATGTGGGGTATTAGAATAATACATAATTTTATCTAATATTTGATGATACACAACATAAACATTGGATAATAGTTATTTAATCCAATCAGCTGTTTGGTTAGGATATTATTTTATGGTATTTTTATTGAATTAACAAAAATATCCTCAATCAGTGTTTGTTACATTGATGATTACTGAATTTTATCAATTAGGAAGATATAATAGTAAATGTGTAGAATAATACGTTTGAGTTGGATTATGATATCACCTCTTTTGGTGGTATTAAAATATCTTCATAATACATATATATTGTATAAAAAATATATGATAAACATACGATTAATATACATTTTTGAAATTAATATAGTATCAAATTTGTTTACCAAACAAGGTATTAGGCTCGATTAAATAAAAATAGTACAATCAAATATTTAATTCTTTCATAATATGTCTACAAATGAGCCCTAAAAATACCAAATAAAGGACTAAAATATAATTTTTAGTAGCAATATTTAATTGTGGCTAAAAGTTTATTTTTTACCCACAATTTTAAATCACCACTAAAAGACTCAAACATAATTTTAGTGAAACTTATTATCACGGCTAAAAAATCAAAATTCTTCTACTCACATACCCATTCTTCTCACACACACACACACACATTTATATAATGAGAAAACAAGAATACAGTTAGCAGTCATCGCTAAAATATAATTCACATATGTGTAACATCGAGATACGAGTATTTATAAACTCAGTCTCACAAGAAGACAAAAACAAAAATAAGCAAAACAAGGTCTTGATCACTGGACTTTACCAATCATCTCATGTCTATACTTCAAGAGTAAAGCAGAACCAAAAGAAGCTTTGCCAATCAGCTCTAACACTTCATAATTTTTCATTCTTTCAGCAACTCACTTTCTTATCTCAATCCGGACAAGAATCTGCTTAATGTTGCAAAATCCTTGTTCAATCATAGTCCATAAGCACCATATACTTTTTTTTTACCTTTTTTTCTCTTTTATATTTTCTTGGTCTCATGAAAAACAGACAAGTGCACTAAAGCTCTTACCATCAATAATGAGAGACAAATCAGTTACCATCTAATCTAAGTGGTTATAGGTCTTTTAACTTTGTTAAGTCCTAGCTGGAAATCTTATGGAATACACCAATAATTTAGGGAGAGATTAGCAGGACTCCAACATCAAGTTTGGTTCTCAGCTTATTAGAATATATCCGGGGGTCAACACTAGTCGCTTTCTTTTTCGGAAAGTAAATGTATTAAATAGAACAAAATGTACAATGAGGTCACGTAGGACTCAAAGTCAAAACAAAAAGCCAAAGCTTTAAGACACAATTCTGTAAGAGATGCCAAAATTGAAGGTATCCCCCACAGAATTGTTTACAAAAGAATACAGTACACAAACGGACAAGAGATGCCCTAATGAACAATAAAAAGGAAATTCATATGAATAGAACCAGCAGATGGACCCCAGTCACATCAGATGGACCAGTTGCTGAAGAAATCCAGCAATCCAAAATAAGAGAAGCAGTGAGGGCCTGATCAACAACCCAAAACAGAAAATAGGTCCAGCAAAAGAGAAGCCAGCAACCCAAAACCAGCAGAAGAAGGACAGCTAAAGCACCAACAGTCACATGAATAGTGACATGAACAGTGCAGCCTAAACGCAGGAACCCATTGCTGAAGCAGAAGCGGCAGGCAGCCAATAAAAGCAGAAACAAACCATCAGGGGGAAATGCAGAACATCCCTCCAACAAGCGCGAGAACAGAGGACCAAGAAATGAAGGGTCATACACCTTCATAAAAGCAGCACATGCACCATCAGAGAACAGCAGAAACCACCATGAAGCGCAAGAGAGACAAAGAAGAGGTAAGGAAGTGCGATCATCGTGATACAAAGGTCCGCCAGAAAAATAGAGAAGATAGCCCGGGGAAGGTGGTCCCGAACCGTCCAAGAAAATGCTTCTTCTGATACAACGACATTGCCTAGAAGGTCCACCACAGGAACCAGATAGCACCCAACCGCAACACAAGAACAACAACATGGAGTGACGTGAACAATGCCCAAAACAACAGAAACCACATCAGAGTAGAACAAACAAGAGCCTCAACAGTGTTGTGAACAGAGCACCAACCACACATCGAGCAAAAGACCACAGTCCTAGGATACCACAGATACAAAACTGAAAATGTAAAAATGAATGTAAGACATGTATGAATGAACCGCATAGACATTACAAGAAGCCATTGAATGTGAATGAAACCATATTCCTGTAATGTTATAACAAACAAGCCATCCATAACAAACAGCCACAAAAGAAGCCCAACAGCCTTATGCCAACAGCACATGTGGGACAGAGCAACATGCGTAAGAACACACCACCCATCAGCTCGATCAGAGAACCAAGGAACCCAAGAAAATGCTTCTACTGAAACCCAAACAAGCCAAATGTGTGAAAGAAACCATAATCCAGTAAAGCCATAACAAACAAGCCATCCAAAACACATAGCCACAAAAAGAAGCCCAGCTGCCAAAGACCAATAGCACATGAAGGACAGAGCAGTATATGTAAGAACCCACCACCCATCAGCATGATCAATAAGACCATGGTTCCCAAGAAAACAGGACAACTAAAACGCCAACAAGACCAGCAAAGCAGAGTCCAAAAAAGGGGAAAACCAAGGGAAGCAACAGGGAAACCACAAAGAAAAACAACTAGGTGAGGCAACTAGTTGGGAGACAGGCTTGCAACCAGATAGGCATTCACATCCATACACATATATCTAAATATTATAATACCATTGGGACTGGTGGTCTAGTGGTAAGACATGCCCAAAGAGGTCTGTAGCTATGACTAATCGAACATTTCACATCCGGGGAGGCCCTCATGGTCACACCTAGAGGGAGTTACTACCTATTGGTCACCCCTTCCCCTTCTTCCTCTTCCAAAAAAAAATATTATAATTGAAAATTTGAATTCTCAACTTATAAATACATAACAACGGTCAAAATTGATCTAATTTTTATCTACTTTGATTCAATGATATAAAATTTATCTCAAATTTTTTTTCCTACCCAAAAATATCAACTTCTCTACAAGACCCCATTACCAAACAACTCAATCAATACACTCCCTAATGTTAAGAAATCTTCATCAATCCACACCTAAGTCTCTCTTCATTTTAATTTTAAATTGCGTAATTAAAAAAATTAAATTATTATTTAAAATACAAATATTGCAAGATCAATTCAATTTTGATATTGTATAGTATTTTTAGACACAGAGTTATTGCTACTTCATATATATGCGATATCTTGTATCATTTGCAAGTTATTTTAATATATATATGTTGAATCTAGAGTGATGATAATTATATTTGCCCACGTGATATGTCAATTTGAGGACTAAAAATGGATGTAAAATCAATTTACAATAGGGGTTGACACTATTAAACACATTAGGTTAGCGAAATATGGACTCGATATGAAATAAATGGCTTATGATTTACTAATTTCCAAAAATAGAAAATGATATGCCTCACAAACCCAAATAATAAATGGATTAGATTAGCACGGTCAAACATGCATAATTCTATCTTTGTTGGACAAAAAATTTAGCTAGTATAGAGTGAAGAATATTTTTTATGTTTTCTAATTTTTTTTTTCATTTCTTGATCAACTATTCTACCAACTTCTATTGAATTGGAAGATTTTTACTTGGTTTTTTACACATCTAGACCGTGTAGGGTTTAATTCATGGAGGGTCACTGTGGGGTGACAGAGCAAAGGTCCTTATATATATATTTTTTTTAAGCCACCCAATGTGGGTGGGGGGTTTGGCAGAATCCCTACCTGTATATATAACTAAAAGAAAAAAGTACAAGAGAGGAGAACATAAAGCCAAGCCTCCATAAGTGGAAGAAAGACAAGCAAAAGTAAGGTGATGACTCACCACCAAAAGTAGGAAAAAAAATAAAATAATTGAAAACATCAATAAAAACTCAATGACGAATGTGAGGAATCTGTCGAGCGTCCAAGGCAAGGATGCCAGCAATCCCAGAAGGAAGGGATGACGAATTAGAGAATCGCTAATTGAGCTGTTGAGAGCAAGCCCAATTAGCAATGAAGTCTGCAGCCTAATTTGTCTCTCACAGGATGTGGCAGACGCGAGCCAAGAGAGAAGCACACAAAAGCCTAATTCAAGCAAGTAGATAAGCATAAACCTAGCATCCAGTACCCTGAGAAGAAACCCAAGAAACCACTGTAACTGAATATGACTCCACTACCAACTCTGAAACTCCCAAATCTGCAACCAACTCCAACCCAGCACAAACAGCCTGCAACTCTGCATACAGAATAGGCTGATGACCCAGAAACAAGCCAAAAGCCCCGAGTACCCAACCCTGGTGGTTCCAAATAACCCCCTTTGCCGTAGACTGCCCAGGATTGCCTTTAGAACAGCCATCCACGCTGATCTTTAGACAATCCACTACAGGATGAGACCAAGCAACCAAGCGAAGAGGTCGAGGCCGAGGAACCAAGACCCTAAGAGAACCCACAAACTCAACCGACTCATCCCGATGCAACTGACTCGCAATAAACCCAAAAGCAAGCCCAACCAACTGCATATCGGCCATAACCGTCTGAATCACAATGGGCACATGAAAGGTCTAGCCATCAAACCTATAAGCATTACGCGCCTTTCATAAGTGCCACAGAATAAAGCACGGTAGCAGTACCCACACGTGACCTACAGAAGGAGCACAATACCGCCAATGAAACATCAAAGTATAAGGAGACTGGAATAACCAACATCTGATAAAAGTGACCCCACACTTGAATTGCAAGCAGACAATCTAGAAAAAAATACTTAAGAGTCTCAACAGCCCCACCACACACACACACACCAGGATACTACATGGAAACCCCATCTCTATAAGCCATCATTTGTGGCCAAGAAACCATGAAACAACCACCACATAAAGAAGGAGATTTGAGTTGGAATATGCCTCTGCCAGACACAAGAAAACCCAATCCGAACTGGAGCCACACCCTGAATATCAGCCCAAGCAGTCCTCAAGGAAAAATCTCCATCCAAAGGTAACCTCCACCTCATTTGATCAGCCCCCCTGATCCAGAATAAGAATCTACATAATCTGCTCAACAACTGAAGAAGGTAAAACCCCCAACAATTGGCCTCTGCCCCACTGACGACCTACCCAATAAGCAGAAACAAGAACCCCAAAAGCTGCCCCCGGATACACTAAAGTCAATGGGTAATCCACAAACCAACAATCATACCAGAAATTGACCTCATCGAACTGTACTAACCATCTAATCCTCGGCTCAGCCATGGATTTAATCCCACACAACCACCTCCAAAGAGGTGAAGCTGGGTAACGAAACTCAATCAGTCCAGGATGGGTGGACCTACAGTACTTAGCCCTCATAAAAGTGGACCAAAGTGACTGTTGAGCACGAAAACTCCACCATAGCTTCAACTCACAAGCCTCGGCTAAGTCATAAAAAGAATGCACCCCTAAGTCGCCTTTCTCTATAGGGAAACACGCCTTAGCCCAGTGAATATTTTGATAAGTAGCTGTATTACCCCATAAGAAACGAGTGAACATCCTCTCTAACTGGTGAAAAACATCTGCAAGAGGCCTCAACACGTGAAACAAGTGAATAGGCATCGACGTATACACATGACGAATCAAAGTGTGCTTACCTCCAAAGGAAAGCAAGTGATTTGCCCATCCAGAAATTCGCTCGCACACCTTCTGAATCATCTCATCAAAGTACGAGATTCGGAGATAACCCAAGTAGATAGAGCACCCCAGATAAATAAACGGGAGATAACTCTTAGCTTGACTAACTAACTGACTAGAAGCAGCCTCGTAATGATGAAGAAAATCCATAACTCGCTTCAAGTTTGACCGGCACCCATTAGCAAAAAATAATAATGTCATCAGCAAAAGCCAAGTTGAAGACCGAAACCCCAACTCTAGTATTATAAGCCACCCCCGAAAATCGAGCATACAAAGAGTTTAAGCCTCGAGAGAGATACTTTGTAGCAATGATGAACAAACAAGGAGAAAGGGGGTCACCCCTGTCGTAGCCCCCCTGCGACTGGAAAAAAACCCTGACTGACCCCATTCACCATCACAGAAAACCATGGCCCCCAGATAGCCTACCAAACCAAAGAAATCCAGTCCTCAAAGAACCCAAAAATCTGCAACATCTGGAGAATGAATGTCCAAGACATCCTGTCATATGCCTTAACCATATCAAACTTCAGCACAACGTTCCCCACCCCGGGAACCTCTCCCCAATTCATGAACCAACTCCTGAGCCAAAAGAACCCTGTCCTGCAACACTCGGCCTAGCACAAACCCACTCTGTGTCGGTGATATGATATGCGACAACAAGGACGACAAACGAGAAACAAAGATCTTTGTAAGCACCTTGTTGCTCACGTTACATAAACTGATCGGCCATAAATCTGCCCAAGTAGAAGGTGACTCCTTCTTAGGTAAAAGCACAATCAACGTACTCATGAATCCTCAAGGCATAGGAAAACCCCAGAAGTAATCCTGAACTGCAACTAGTAAATTTGCTCCCACAATGTCCTAGCAAAACTGATAAAAGTGATTGTAAAATCCATCCGGCCCCGGTGCATTATCTGAATCAATAGAGAACATGACCTGTCTCACCTCCTCTAAAGTCGGCATAACACACAATCCAACATCATCTGCATCAACCACAATAGTTAGAATAGCTAAAAAATCTACAACCTCAACCTGAAAAAAGGAAACTGTCGAAGCACCAATAGCCCTAGGCTCAGTAATCCACTCTACATCATCACCCCGGATCCGATGGATTGAAAGAACATGTCGTTCCTTCCTCACTGAAGCATGAAAAAAACAAGTGTTTGAATCCCCTTCTCGAAGTCAACAGACATGTGACTATTGTCTTATAAAGGACTCTTCACACTTTAAAGTCTGCTGCAACTCAACCCTGGCCTGATGAAGGGAAGCCCAATCT